CCTCCTCCCCCTTCCCCCTCTCTCTAAAATCAATAAGCAGATCCTTGAGTGAGAATTAAAAAACTAAAAAAAGCAACTACCTGAAGATTCTTATAGGTAACATTGACAACCAGTTAATCTTGGGGGAAGAAAGAAATTTTGGTCTCTATTGGTGTTCTTATGAAGGGAAGTTGAAGGTCTTGGAGCAGTATCTGGACAGGAAGAATGAGCCAATCATAACCTTTTGAGTGTAGCTCACTCAACTAGTTTCCTTTCTGAGAAAGTAACTTTTTAAAAATGGTTAAAAATATTTCAAATCAAAGACCTTGCATGTTCACTTAGTGTTGAATTTAGGAGAGGCAGGAGAGTAGGAGCTGGCATGTAGCTGTTCAGAAATGTGGCTCCTAAGAGGTTTCAGATAATTTACTCTCTCTTTCATTCCCCTTTTTCTTTTAGTTAGAAGAGAAGATAAAAGGCTTTGATTCATGAAGAATCTGCTCATTAAGAAGTGTATATCAAGCCACTGGTCGAATTTCCGTCGAAAACAGAGTAAGCTGAGAATGGAGAGGAAGGTTGACTCCAGGTGAGTGATGTGGCTTGACAAAACTGGTAACTGAAATTATGGCTCACATAAAAATCTGTAAATATTTTGTGTGTGAATGTCCTGGCCAGTTTGGCTCAATGGTTGGAGCGTTGGCCTGAGAGAGAAAAACATCGATGTGAGAGAGATACATCAATTGATTGCCTCTTGCATGCACCCCTATGGGGCCGGGAATCAGACCTGCAACTCAGGTACGTGCCCCTGACTGGAAAATGAACCCAAGACCTCAGGAGCCTGGCTAATGCTCTAACCACTGAGCACACCGCTCAGGGCAGGAAAAACTTTCCCTTTGATTCCTATCCTTTCTGGTCCAGGATCACACATTGTATCTTTTACTTTTTAGTTTCCTTTAATTTGGAACTGTTTTTGAAGAGTTCAGAACACTTAATCTTTTATGAATATTTCTTAATTTGGGTTTGTTCAATGTTTCTTCATGATTAAATTCAGGTTATGCATTTTTGGCAGGAATAGCACAGAACTGATGCTGTGTTCTTCTCAGGGCATCAGTATCAGGAGACACATCATGTTGCCTTGGTCCCATTACCATTGATGTTAACTTTTTTTTTTAGTATGTCTTTATTGATTTCAGAGAGAGGACTAGAGAGGGAGAAACATCAGTGATGAGAGAGTCATGGATTGGCTGCCTCCTGCCCCCCCCCCCCCCCCCCCCCCCCCCCCCC